AGCAACGTGGTCCACTACGTGCAGCAGATCCTGGCGCCCGAGGGCAGCTAGAGGCTGTCCCCACGCCGCCCCCGCGTGCCACCCTGTGCTGGCTTCCGGAATGATCCACCCCGGCCCCCGTCTCCAGCCCCCTCTGAGGTGTGTTCCCTCCACGGTCTGGTCTCCGGGCCCGAGTCTGACTCGTGGGGGCTGCTCTGGACCCCGAGACCGGAGACCCCCACGGCCCTCAGTGCAGGCTGCTTGCGGGCAGGCCCTCCTCCCACCGGAGGGTCAGGGGGAGAGCAGAGAACTTGGTCCTCGTTGGCTGATTTTTAAAAAGAATATGTTTTTAAATGATTTTTTTAGAGAGAGGAAGGGAGAGGGAGAGAGAGAAAAACGTCCATGATGAGAGAAGCATCATGGATCGCTGCCTCCTGCACGCCCCACAGGGGATCGAGCCGGCAGCCCGGGCCTGTGCCCCGACCGGGAATCGAACCGTGACCTCCTGGTTCACAGGTCGGCGCTCAACCCCTGAGCCACGCCGGCCGGGCCCTCTGGCTGATTCTTGACGTTCTACGCAAACGCCTGCGTTGGGGTCACTCCCTTTTCAGGGCGAATCTGTTTTAATAAATCTTTTTAAGCGACGCGTGTTTAACTTGGAGTTGTGGATCGAGGGGCTGCCAGATTCCTTCCCCTCGGTGCCCCCTGTGCAGGCGTCCCAGGACGGTCCCTGGGGAGACCCCGCGGGCCACAGTGGCCCGTCCTCGGGGAGCCCCAGCTGCAGGACGTGTGTGAAAAAAACCCCAGCCACGTGTCCTATCAGGCGTCCAGGAGAAGCGGGCGACGAGCAGCACCCGTTCCCGCAGTCCCCCCTGCGGGTGGCTCCTCCTCTGGTCCGGGCAAGTGAAGGCTGACGGCTGCGAACGTGCCTTTTGTTTGTCCTTCTGGAGCCTCCTCGCCAGCCCCGGGGCCGCGCCCGCCTCTGAGCCTGGATGACCTCAGGGGCAGGTGACCGGCTTCTGACCTCCTGGCCTCCAGGTGGGGATCTAAGCAGCTAGCAAGTCGGGGTGGGGCTCCGGGTGGGGAAGGGGAGGGTCGCAGAGAAACATTTAAATACTTTTTTGTTAATTCTCGCCTGAGGATATTTTTCCATCTATTTATTTATTTGTTTATTTAGCGTGGAAGAGAGAGGGAAGGACAGAGAGAAACATCGATGTGAGAGAAACACATCAAACACATCGGTTGGTTGCCTCCTGCATGCCCCCTGACCAGGCTGGGGAGGAGCCTGCAGCCGAGGTACGTGCCCTTGACCGGAATCGAACCCGGGACCCTTTGGTCCGCAGGCTGACACTATCCACTGAGCCACACCACCCAGGGGTAAATACATTTTTAAGTTGCCTTTCTTACATGCAGGGCACCCCTGGGCCCGGCTGTGGCTCTGTCGGGCTTGGCTCTGTTGGGCTGTGGCTCTGTCCTTGACTGAAGTTATCGGCACAGGCCTCTCCCCGTCCTGCCCTGGGCTTGGGAGGTTCTCCCTCACAAAAGCCAGCGAGTAGTGCGACCACGTGACAGGCCGTCCTCATCGGGGACTGGTCTCAGGGCTGCAGGCCAACGGTTCCAGGGCTGTCCTGAGGCTCCGCACCTGACTCAGGGCTGCTCATTGGCCCTGAGGTGGCTCTTTCCTCTCGTCAGGAGGCCCCGCCCCCATCCCACAGCCCCTCTGACCTCTGTTCTGGAAGCTTCTCTCTGATGCGCCCCGGCCAGTGTGGCTCAGTGGATAGAGCGTCAGCCTGTGGACTGAGGGGTCCCGGGTTCGATTCCAGTCAAGGGCACGTTCCCAGGTTGCGGGCTTGATCCCTGGTAGGGGGCGTGCAGGAGGCAGCCGACCCATGATTCTCTCTCCTCATGGATCTCTCATCATATGTTTCTCTCTCTCTCCCTCTCTGACATCAATAAAAATATTTTTAATAAATAAAGACGTTCTTGGAGGTGAGGGGCCCAGGTCTCCGTGCAGCCCCTCGAAGGCCAGGGAGCTGTCTCCCCGGAGCCTGCGTCCCCAGGTGTCCGCCCTGTGAGGCCGAGGGCGCAGTCCCGGGCGGGAGCTGGTTCTGCCACATTCCTGGGTGACGGTGGAGGGTGAGCCCGCCTGGGGCTCTGCTCCGTGGGGGAGGTCCCCCCAGGCGCTGGGAAAATCCACAGCCTGGCCCCGTGGGGAGGCCCGGAACTGAACCCCCTGCCCTGGCCACCGGCAGCTTCAAACACAAGGTGGGCGGGAAGCCTGTTCCCTGGGCTGGACTCCCCAGTCCTCGGGCTGTGGAGTTCGAGAGGCAGCCGGGGGCGGGGGCACCTCCCCTTTGAGTAAGCGCTGCTCCCTTTGCCCGCCAGCAGCACTCGGCCCCGGGCCACCTGGGCTGGGCAGTGACGGAGGAGCTGGAGAGGGTGAGAGCCAGGCCCGCGTCACGGCTGCATCGAGAGCCAGATGCTAGAAGAGACCTCGGGGGTTAGGTCCGAACCACCTTGCTTTTATTCTTATTTTAAATATATATATATTTTTTATTGATTTCAGAGAGGAAAGGAGAGAGAGATGGGAACATCAATGAGGAGAGAGAATCATGGACCGGCTGCCTCCTGCACGCCCCACACTGGGGATCGAGCTGCAACCCGGGCATGTGCCCTGACCAGGAATCGAACCCTGACCTCCTGGTTCAGAGGTCTCAACCACTGAGCCACACCGGCCGGGCTGAACCTTGGTTTTAGAGATGGGGAAACTGAGGTGCAGAGTCACACAGTCGGGGAGAAACCAGAAAACACCTCCTGCTCCATCCCACCTCTCCCTGCTCCGCCCCCTCAGGGTCTCAACGGGGTGGGTCTGTAGGACACGGGCCCTGTGTTTGTATGTTTTTAAATCCTCACCCGAGGATATGTTTTCCATTAATTTTTTTAGAGGGAGTGGTGGGAGGGAGGGAGAGAGAAACATCAACGTGAGAGAGACATGTCCATTGGTTGCTCCACAAACACACCCCTACGGGGGCCGGGGCTCGAGCCTTCGACTGATGTCCATGCCCTTGACCGGGAATCGAACCTGTGATTCTGGGTCGATGGACTGACACTAACCACTGAGCAAAACAGCCAGGGCAGGACCCTGTGTCTGGGCCTGAGTCCCTAGAGAGAACCACAGGCACGAGGAAGTCACAGAGCTGGGGGGGGGGGGGGGGGGCCTCAGCCCGGCCTGTGCCCTCTCGTGGTCTGGGACCCCTCGGGAGATAATGATCTGCTGGCTGAGGCCTGCTCCCGGGTGGCAGAGGGCACGCCCAATCCCTAGGTGCAGCCCCTGGTCAGGCTCAGAGCAGGGCCAATTGGGGAGTTGGGGCGCTGCCCCCTGTCATGCACAGAGCAGGGCAGATCGGGAGGTTGCAATGCAAGGGCACATGCCTGGGTTGTGGGCTCGATCCCCAGGAGGGGGCGTGCAGGAGGCAGATGATCAATTATTCTCATCATTGATATTTCTATCTCTCTCTTCCTCTCCTTTCCTCTCTGAAATCAGTAAAAATACATTAAAAAAACCAAAACACAAAGTGCGGATAAGGGAAGATGAACGGGGACTACGTTAAGGTAAACACAAAACATCCCTTTTTACGGCTTGAATGACGGACACAGGTATCCGGGCTCTGGCCAGGAGGGGGCAGCAGAGGTGCCGGTGAGCCGCGAAGAGACGGTCGACCGGTAGACATAGCCCGTGGGCTCCTGCACCGTCCACGGCCCCGGGCGGAGGGCTGGGGACGGCTACGCGCAGCTGGCCCTGTCCAGGTGTGGCTGCTGCCGCCCCGATACCTGGACAGGGTCCCGGCCAGCAGAGAAAATGGGTGTCAGCAAACTA